TCAAGGACCCACTAAAATCCATCTTTGGTGCCTAGATAAACCTCCTTAGCATGTGTTGTTAATTTGTTCTCAAGCAGGTTCCAAGACTGATGCTAGGACTATATTGTTCTTAAGGATTATAGTTTTGTTTGTTTCTTTCTTTAGAGTCAGATTTATTTATTTTATTTTATTTTTGCGTTAAGTGAAAGTTTACAGCTCAAGTTAGTTTATCATACAAAAATTTATACACATTTTTATGTGACCCTAGTCGCCGTCCCCATAACATGTCAGCACACTCCTCCTTTCCACCCTGATTTCGTGTGTCCATTCAACCAGCTTAGAGTCAGATTTATTAAAGCATAATTTACATGCAATAAAATTTACCCTTTTTAGTGTGCATGATTATAGTTTTTAGTTACCTTTCTAGAGATTTTACCTGTTGGATAGTTGGCAGCCAGTAGCATTTATTATATTTTAGGAATAGAGTGTTTTAATTATACAAGCAATTTTGTTTTGTACATGTTAAACGTTATATTTGTCATGAAAATTTTGATGTACATTTCCTCAGTATTTTTTTCTAAATTTTATTGTGTTGTTGAGAATATGCACAGCAGAACAGACACCAACTCAACAGTTTCTACACGTACGATTTAGTGACACTGATTACATTATTTGAGTTTTGCAACCATTCTCGTCATCCTTTTCTGAGTTCTTCTTCCCTCGCTAACATAAACTCACTGCCCCCTAATGTTCCTATCTAATACTTCGACTCACTATTGTCAGTTGATCCCATGTAAGTAATTCTTTTAAAACAGCATAATGCTCAAGGCAGACCTTTTCTACTGTTGGTTTTTAAGATGACTTGAGGGGATATTTCTGGTTTAAGGTTTAAAGATTATCTCAGGGCAGTAGTTTCAGGGGTTCATCCATCCTCCGTGCCTCCAGAAAGTCTAGAGTCCATACGAATTTGGAATTCTGTTATGCATTTCCCCCTTCTTGATCAGGATTCTTGTATGGAATCTTTGATCATAATGTTCAGTAATGGTAGCCATTCACTATCCAGTTCTGGTCTCATGGTAAAGGAGGCATTTGTTCATGGAGGTAATTAGCCACACATTCTGTGTCCTCCTCCTATTCCTGACTCTCCTTTTTCCTCTGTTGCTCCTGGTGAATAGAGACCAATTAGTGTGCCTTGGATGGTCACTTGCAAGCTTTTACGACCCTACGCAGTGAACTAGAAGGTGGAACAGAAGTGCTAAACACATTATTAGGCCAATTAACTGGGAGGTCCTATGATACCATGACCCTGAACCTCCAAACCAAGGAACCAAATCCTACAAGGTGTTTGGTTGTACATAAGCAGCCTTAGCAGCTACTCTCCCCCCCGCCCCATGTTGTTAATATATCTATCAGACAACTTTTGCCAATTCAACTTTTTACAGGTGTATAACTTATTGACAGCAATTACAGTAATCAGCTGTGTAACTCTACCCTTGATCAATGCTGTTTTTCCATCACCGTTAACCCTCCCTTTCCTCCTCCCTGCCATCCCTGGTAACCACTGATAAACTTTGGTCTCTATACATTTGCCTTTTCTTGACTTTTTATATAAGTGAGGTCATACAATATTTGTCCTTTTGTGATTGGCTTATTTCGCTCAGAATAATGTCTTCAAGCTCCATCCATACTGTGGCATATATCAAGACTTCATTTCTCCTACTGGCTGAGTAGTGTTTCATTGTATGTATGTACCACCTTTTGTTGATCCGTTCATCTGTTGATGGACATTTAGGTTGTTTCCACCTTTTGGCTATTGTGAATAGTGCTGCAGTGAACATTGGTATACAAGTCTTTTTGGAGTCTCTGCTTTCAGGTCTTTTGTGTGTACACTTAGGAGTGGAATTGCTGGGTCATATGGTAGTTACATTTTTGGTTTTTTTGAGGAACTGCCATATTGTTTTCCACAATGTCAGTACCATTTTGCATTCACGCTAGCAATGAATAAGGGTTCCAGTTTCCCCACATCTTCACCATTTGTTATTTTCTGTTTTTTTTTTATCTTAGCCATCCTAGTGGTAGTGAAATGGTGTATCATTGAGGTTATGATTTGCATCTCTCCAATGGCGAATGCTAACCAAAAGGTCGGTGTTTCAAAACCGTCACGGCCCCGCATGCGAGAAAGATACGGCAGTCTGCTTTCGTAGAGATTTACAGCCTTGGAAACCCTGTGGGGTGGCTATGAGTCAGAATGGACTTGACAGCAGTGAGTGGGAATGGCTAATGACACTGAGTATCTTTTCATGTGTTTGGTGGCCATTCGAATGTCCTCTCTGGTGAAATGTCTCTTCAAGTCCTTTGCCCATTTTATGATTGGGTTATGTCTTTTTGTTGTTAAGTTGTCAGAGTTTTATGTATATTTTGGTTTTGAGATTTTTGCAGACATGGTTTCCAAAGATATTCTCCTAGTCGGTAGCTTGTCTTTTCCCCTTTTGGTAAAGTGTTTTGATGAACAGAAGTTTTTTTTTATGAGGTTCCATTTACTTATTTTGTCTCTTGATATTTGTGCTTTTGTTATTATATTACATAATCAATTGTTGAAAGCCAGACCTGACAGCTTACCCCCTGCTTCTTCTAAGAATTTTGTGGTTTTAGTTTCCACATTTTGGTTCTTAATCCATTTTGAATTTGTTTTTGTGTATGGGGTGAGGCATGGATCCTTTTTCATGTTTTTCCTTGTTGAAATCTAATTTTCCCAGCACTATTTACTGAAGATACTCTTCTTTCCCCATCAAATGGACTTAGCACCCTTGTCAAAAATCAGTTGACCACAGATGTGTGGGTTTATTTCTGGACTCTGAATTCTGTTCCATTGGTCTATGTGTCTTTTGTTATGCCAGTACTAGGCTGTTTTGATTACTGTGGCTGTATACCAAAAACTAAACCAAACCGCTTGCCATTGAGTCAATTCCAACTCATAGCGACCTAATAGAACAGAGTAGAACTGCCCCATAGGGTTTCCAAGGAGTGGATGGTGAATTTGAACTGCTGACCTTTTGATTAGCAGCCGAACGCTTAATCACCACACCACCATGGTGGCTGTATAGTATGTTTTAAAATCAGGAAGTGTGAGTCCTACTTTGTTCTTCTCTTTCAACGTTGTTTTTAGCTATTTGGGGCCTCTTGCCATTCCATATAAAGTTGAGGATTGGTTTTTCTATTTCTGTCCTTGATATTTTTAATGTTAAAACATTTTATCACATGTGTGATAACAATGGTTAAGTGCTTGGCTGTGTAACTGAAATTGGCTGTTCAAAACCACCAGCCACTCTGCGGGAGAAAGATGTGGTAGTCTGCTTCCAGATCACAGCCTTGGAAACCTAATGGGGCGGTTGTATAGGGTTGCTATGAGTCAGAATCGACTTCAACGGCAATTGGTTTGGTTTTTGTTTGGCTTTTATATATGACACATAAAATTGAGACATAAAAATTTTCATGTAAAATACACACATACACCATCTTTTCAACAGTGGGCTTTTGTGGAATATTAGTTTCTGTTAACATTGTTATTGCAGGTTTAGTCAACATTGAATATAGATCACAAGTATTTAACTTGTGTTATCCCTAGAATAATACAAATTAAGGTGGTATAAGCTAAACTATGTGGAGACTAATGTATTTAATTGCTTAACAAATTGCCTTTTGAAAGAATTAAGAATGATGTTTTAAGAAATAAGAATGAATATTGAATGTAGTGTCAGTTAAGTGTTATGAAGAAAAATTAAATATTAAGCTTAATGATTTAACGGTTGCAATAAAAACAAAGATCAGTGTGCTACTACCCTACTCAAAGGAAATTTACCATGCCAAAAAATTAACTATGATAGGGCAATTCAGCTCACAAAATACATGGTAACCTGTTTAAAAAAAATAAAAAGTTCATTCCAAAACAAACTGTTAAAGATTTCAACTGGAACCAGTAGACAAAATAAAAGCCTAAACCATTAGAAAATAGCACATGAGATATAGATGAAATTTCTTAAAGTTTAGTAAAAAATTATCATAAAAATTTATTTAGTGTGTTCTTAATGGTTTAATATGTTCTGGGGGCCAGAAAACATTTTCAGGGGACTGTCCTTCAAATTTTGCTGTTAAGTTGGTGAGTATGTAGTTTGCTGTAAATTTATAGAAACTTGTTTTTATTTTTTAAGAAAAATTTGTTAATTTCTCAGAAACTAGGGACAGTTGGGTTTGGTTTATACAGAGATGAGAGGTACACCTGTAGTTTATACTATCAAAATAGTAGTTACTGTTTTAACAGCCTCTCAATTAGAATGACATATAAAGTATAATAGTACAACTACAGGAAAGATGCTGAAAACATAGTTTCAAATTGTACATTTTCCAGCGTAACGTAGGTTTGGAAATGTTTACTTCTTTTTACACTTAAACCGTCTACGTATTTATATAATACTACATTATTTTTTAATTCGCTACTCCAGGTAGAATATCAACTATGCTCTTCCTTCATTTGGTAGCCTGCCTTGGGCACTCTTTTCTCTTATATCCGTTTATAGCTCTAAAAAGATGTTATTTGAAAAGGAACGTCTTCACAGATAAAACTTTAGTTTCTTAATTGGGGGCCCTTGTCTCATATGACTTTGTATATACAAGGAGGAAGTATGGTAAGTGTTTCATGTATGTATGAAAAACATATGCTCCATTCTTCTTCCGCCTCAGAAACCAGGCTGCTGTGGCTTTGAACACTTTCCTGAGCTGTTTATTGTGACTTCTTCGTTTAGCCATAGGAAATGGGATTCAAAGTCAAGGATCCAGGGGTGTGCAGGAGAGAAATACCACCACGTGTCCTCTCTGTGGCGTCCTTAGTTCTGTACACCAAAGCTCCAGTTAATCTTTTGGCTCTTTTTCATCACAATCACTTTGTGATTTTAAAACATATTCTTGCCCTTGCTAATAACTTGGGAAATGCAAAATTTATCATTTTTTTCTCCCCCTCCTGATAGGTGCTGGATAGTTTACTAGTCCAGTATGGAGTGGTGGAGAGCTGTGAGCAAGGTACATGTCTTCTAAATTGCTTTCAAATTTGTAAAAGGAAGGAAGTAGAAAGAAAACTAACTTTTTGTTTTTCTTTTTCGTTTTTCTCTTCTTGTAGTGAACACTGACTCGGAGACTGCAGTTGTAAATGTAACCTATTCCAGTAAGGACCAAGCTAGACAGTAAGCAGTTGGAAACTTTTTGTCTATATGTAACAACTAGGTTAAGTATAATAATTTTGTGGATTTTATACTTTAGGGGAAGGGCTGGTGGGTAGCAGAAACTTTATTCTACAAAGTTTGACCCCCGAATCGTATCTTTTAAAAGTTTGAATGCTTAGTGAGAATCTGCATTCCTTAAAGTTTTGCTACATTTCAATATATTCTTAATGCCAGTAATGTAGTGATAGGGTATGAAGTTGAATTACATACTATTTGCAAAAAATTCTGGGCCTGGATAATGTTGCCAAATTACATGAAGACTTTTTTCTTATGGTATGACACATACATTATTGCTATTTTTTTCCAAAGCTGGTAAGTTGTTAACAGTAATGTTAAATTTAGTCATCTTGTTTACTAATTTTTCTAATGATTACTATTGTCATGTAGGCGTGTGCAGATATTGGGCTAATGTAATTTGCTTCTAGATTTACAGAAAAAGTATGTTCCGATGTTATTGACAGGCAAAACTTCACAGATCAAACTGTCTCCCACAGGAAGAAACAATTCTGTAGCCTTGGGAGTGGTCTGATGAACTGACTGAAGAACACTAGAGAGACAAAATGGGTCCCATGTACATTGCTTCTCAGAACAGGGTCATGGAGGGATGGCACACAAGCTTCCCAGCATCACAGCCCTGAGTATCAACAGACCAAGGAAGACTTAATGACCTCTTCATCATAGTACAGGGGGAAACAGACCCTTTACCCCTTTGTATGGGAAAGACGGAGAGGAAAGACCATGCTGGCTGAGCTTGAGTAGTAAAGGGAAAGGGTGAAATGAACTCCTTGAGTGGGAATTGAGCTAGGTTACCAAAGGCAGTGCCCACTCATGGAGGGACTAGGAGAGGAAAGATAGGGCTAAGAAGGAGATGGAAATTTGCATAACATAGATGGAGCTTTATTTTTAAATTGGTAATAATCACATTGTTCAAAATTTAAAAGATCCGAAGATGTACACAATGCAAATCTTCCTCCAAGTTTCATTCCCCAACTACTCTGTCCCCTTCCTCAGAGATGACCATGTGGAAGACCAATACATGTGGGTATTTTTCCTTCTTTTTACACAAATAATGCCATAATATTCACGTGTTTTGTACATATAACTATCTTTTTTATAGTTGCATAGAATTTGATTATATGAATATCCCAAATTGGGTATTTAGGTTGTTTCCAGACTCCTACAGTTTATGAACAGTGGTACAATGAATCTCCTTTTACATATGTCATTTGCATCTGTGTCAGTATATCTATAGGATAAATTCCCAGAAGTAGAATTACTGAGTTGAAATATATGTTCATTTTAAATTTTGTTAGATATTGGCAAGTTGTCCTTCGTAGAGCTTTTGAAGTAGTTTAAATTCCACCAGCTCTGTATGAGTCTGTTTCTCCATACTCTCTTCAACACATTGCTTTAGCAAACTTTGCTAGTCTGGTAGGTGAAGACCAGTATCTCATCCTGTTAATTTTGTTTCTCTCATAAGTGAGGCTAAACATCTTTTAATAAGTACAGAAACATTCTATTTTTCCTTCTGTTTGGTCCTTTGTCCATTAAAAAAAAATTTAACAGGTTATAGGAGGTCTTTGGGCATTATAGAAATTAGCCAGTTGTGCTATGAGCTGTAAAACAAATGGATTTCTGTTTTTAACAGACCTTGCTTTTCAACCATATCAAGTAATAGGAAGAACAGGAAAATTTCACATCTGAAATCCCCGGTAGATTGGGGGATAAAAGTGAAGAGAGTGAGAAAGCAGGGGTTCCATTTAGCTTACACGTTTCAGTCTTTACAAAGATCTGTAGTGAATATTTGGTAGAGCCCAGTCCAGATTGGATGGAAAATATGATAAACCCAAGAATACTGGAGATGGTTAGAGGATACTTTAGTTCCCCTGTTTGAAAACTTATGTGAATCTGGTTTTGTTAAGGAGTAAAAACAATGCTTAATTTAAAAGTTACATAGTTGAGTGAGAGAACATATGTTGGAGAAGCAACTTATTTAGCTTTGAAGAGGCATAAGGTGAAATTTATTAGGGACAAGTTAACTCACATTTATCCTTTATTTATAGTCTGTCTATCTAAAGCATTAAGAGTACAAGTACACAGGGACGGATTATCCAGTAAGCAAGGTATGTACAGGTTTACTTGTACTTACTTACTAATCTGTAGTGCACAGTTTCACCACGTCTTTGTGCGTACTTTGCTTACTGTAAGCCAGTGCACACCATGCTTACTGGTTAATCCGCCCGTGCTTGAAGCACAGGAAGAGTAATACTGGCTAGTCAAGACAGAATTACTGCTGAAAATAATCCTAACATGATGGCAAGCTGAATGTGGAGACACTTCTAAAAATACTTTGTGGTGGTTGTTAGAGATTGACAAGACACTGTTGATCCCAAGGAGGGGGAAAAGGCTGTTAGGAATTGTGCAATTTAGATAATCAGGTAACCTAAACAAATAAATTGGGTATTTCAATTAGAGAAATAGTCATTATAACCTTTATTCTAATATTCAGTCAGTTAGTATTTCTTGAGTACTATTGAGTGAAAGTTGCCAGTGACTGAAGGTAAAGTCCCTGTCCTCCAGGACGTGCCTCCCAGAGGTGAAAGAGAGTAGTAGGAGATCGACCACTGGATTTCAGTTCCTGCCCAAGTTGTTACTTTATAAGAATATTGATCCCCCCGACAAGAATTTAAAAAATTAAGAAGATTGTATATTCAGCGAAAGTTAATAAATGAAAAGAATGGAAAAGTCAGTTTCATGATACAATGTTAGGAAAGTTGGTATGTACTGACAAAGTTTTCTAATAATTCTTTTTTAAAAAAGTAGAGTGCATTTTTATTCTGTGAGGAAAATTAATTTTACATTGGAAGCATTGGATGGAGTGGAGAAAGCGGAGAAAGCATGGACTTTGGAATCCGGCAGTCCTGACTGTAGCCTTCACCTCTCTGAGCTAGACTTTTCTCAGCTACAAAATGAAGACTGAGAAGAAACTGATATATTTATTCATGCATACATGCATATATTTATAGAAAATAGTCTTACAAAAAGTAGTAACTCTTAGCGTGCTGGTTCTGGGCTCTTCTGCAGCAGCTTGGAGTGGCTTGAGCTGGGGGAGGCTGGACCCTTCAGGACTTGCTCCACAGAGCCCTGCTCCAGCATGACCACCTGCTGCCTAAACCATCCTTCTTAGCGTCTGTTACTGGAGTGTGTGTGACTGAGATGTGCTTGTGAAGGTGAGAGTAGAGAATAAAGATTAAGAGGATTCATTCCAGAGGCCCATGGAATGGATTCTGTGTCACCATTTTTCTAGCTGTGACTTCGGTCAAGTCAATTAATTGGCCTTGGTTCACTGCCATTTGTAATATGAGAATATTTATGGCCCTCAGTTCATGAGGCTGTTGAGAAGAAATAAAATAATGCCCCTTAAATACTTATAATACCTTGAAGGTAGTAAGAGCTCAAATGTTAACAGCTATAATGATTTTTTTAAAGGGAAACTTTAATATATAAAGATCAGTGTCTTCATTTCCCGCCATAGAAATTGGCTCCTTTTGAAAGTTCAGGGCCACCTTCCAACCTCCCTGACTGTACCCGGAGCACAAAGTAAGCATTTTTCATTGCTGTTGATAATACTCTGCTATTGTTCAATATGTACTGTCCATTTCAGATGAGGAACGAGCACTGATACTGATAAGTTAGAGAACCTAGTTTAAAAAGTTTTGCCTTTTTTTAGTTAGAGCTCTGTGAATGCCGCTTTAAGAGGATTCCTCAATATGGCTATGCCTCTAAGACAAAATTTAACTTGGAAGTTCCTGCCACCTTGTGGCTAAGAAAAATCAATGATTAATAGCACACATAAGGAAAATATCATACATTTGTTTTAACTTTAAGCCTTGAATTTATACCCTGAAGTATGTGTTTAGTGGATGCATCTTTTCTTTTTCCTCGGGGCAAGAGAGGCTGAGGACTCTGGAATGCCTGTTTTCCTGCCCTGTTCAGTGATGCTCAGATGAGTAGTCAAGGAGAGACATTACTCATTGAAAATTTGTACGTGTCACTAAGAAATAACCCCTTAAAATTTGTAGATGTTTAGTTCGTGTTTTTCTGATGTTTGTATTTGTTAGAGAACAGGAATGTTTATTCATTATTTTGGAACTATTTTACTGGTATTATTGCAGATCCTTTCTATATCAGTTTGAAGACCTCTATCAGGTATATGTAGTTACGGTTAGAAGTGTTTGATGAAGTAACTTGTTAATGGCGAGAGGAGGGAATTCAAACTTAAGCTTTAAAAAATTGTGTAAATAGAAGATTTATTATAGAAAAAGAAATAACATATAAAGCAGCCAGACAATGGAATCTCTTGCCATTTTGCCCTTCAGATGTAACCCCCGTAAAGTTTATTGTAGAGCTATCTAGGCCGTGTCCCATGCGTCATAAGTTTTAAAAAGACAAAGATCATTCTACATAGTTTTGTGCATAGTTTTTTTAATACAGGTAGTTTCCTGTATGACTTAAGTCTGGTTTTGGTTTGGTTTTGTTTTTGTACATCTTGTCGTTAGTAATAGGTACTACATACAGTGTTGCAGCTCGTAATTTGCTGATGTTATTCTCAGACGTTTACTTGCAGATGTTCAAAGGTCGGATTTATAAAGATACTGATAATAAAAGGCAATAATAATGAAAACTTAAGAAAAGAAAAGAAAGTGGGTATTCAACTTATGTCAGAACTGACTGATGTGGGAGTCGTTAGAACAGAGCCCTGTTGTGAGTTGAGGACTACCTGTATCTCTACACAGTAGTTCATCTTTAGTTTCTGTATCTAGTTTTCTATGGTTCATCTAGGTTGTTGCAGTTGTTTTGCTTTTAGAACCAGTTTAGTAATGAAGCCCTTTGTAGGTAGATATTTGGGCTTTATCCTTAATTATTCTCTTAAGAAAAATCCTTGCAGTGGTATTACCAGG